CTCGGCAGCATGGCTGCTGGGTGCTGGGGCCATGGAGACAAAGCCTGTGGACCCCTCCTCGGCCGCTGACTCCAGCACATCAACCTGCCCAGGCTGCTCAGTGCCAGCCCACGGGGCCACCTCGCCAGCCACGAGGGGAGGTGAAGGGGAGGGGACACCCTGTGCTGGGGTGGACACAGCTGCCTCACTGCTCATCTCAGCTGAGCCCTTCCCAGCATCCCCATCCCCAGCCAGGGGCTCAGCTGGCCCATGAGGAGCTGTGGGGCTCAGCTGCCCCCGGGACTGGGGAGCAGCCCCCTCGGTGGGGCTGGGGGTGACAGGGTGACCCATGGAGGGGTTGGGTGGGTGGAAGAACGTCACTGCTTTCCTCTGCCTCTCCAGAGAGCCATCACCCAGGGCCCCACTGCCATCACCGCCGTCACCACGGGGCTGTGGGGCCATCTCAGGAACCTCAGCCACCAGCGGGGCTGGGGGCAGGGGGGGCCGTGCAGGGACACAGCCCCTGTCCTCCTGGGAGGGGGCATCCCCAGAGAAGTCCTCCACGGCACCCACAGGTGGCCGGGGAGAATCCCCACGGGCGTTGGGGACACGGGGCTGAGCCCTGACCGCGGTGACATCCTGGTGGCTGAGAGCATGGTGGGGAATGCTGGAGGCAGGCAGGGAAGGGGATGGTGGAGGGGGTGTCTGTGTGGGACCCCCGGGATTGAGGGGGGCTGCGCGGGGGCTCCACTGTGGTGAATCCCTCCGGGCCAGCGCCTGTGACGAGGGGGACACCGGGGCGGTGGCCGGTGCCATCAGCTCTGCAAGAGAGGGCATAACCATGGGTCCCCAAACTGGTGCAGCCCCCACCAGGACCAGCACCCTCCCCCCAGCCACGTCCAGGTGTTGCTTACCAGGGCTGATCTCCTCCTCCACTGCGTTGGAGGGTGAGTAGGTGCCACCTCCCTGGGGGATCTCGGTGCTGGCACGAGGGACATTCCACATCTCCACCGCATTGGCTGCAGCCCCCTTCACCTCCAGGGCCAGGATGGGGGTCTGGGTGACTGTTCCCACTGGGTCCCCGGCCACCATGGGGTCCCCAGCCACCGTGGGGTCCCCGGTCACTGTGGTGGGGTCCTGGCTCTGCTGTTGCAGCTGGAAGTAGCGCCCGTTGAGCCCAGCGTAGCTGCTCCTCCTCGGGGTGTGGGAGCTGGCAGGGGGGGTGCTGGGGGTCTCTGCTGCCACACCAGGGACCATCCCCAGCCCAGGTGGTGAGCTGGTGACGTGCTCCTGGGTTAGGCTTTGGGACCGTGGCAGGAGGGTGGCCAGGGCCTCCAGCTGGCCAGAGGCTTCTTGGACCTGCAGTGCTGGGCTGGTGCTGGCAGGATCCTGCCAAGAGCTCCCCAGGACCTGGTCCACCAGGTTGAGAACTTCATCCTCATGGGGCCACACCAGCGAGGAGGCCATGGTGGGTGGCAGTGATGTGCCATCACCCAGGCCATGAGCCACCAGGGCCTGTGATGGTGCAGCCCCAGGGAGGTCCCCACGTTGGGTTGCTGGGCTGCTGCTGGCCAGCTGCAACTGCTCATCCTTGTCCTTGTCCTCACCCGGCCCTGTGGGCCCTGGCTGTGGCAGGAGGGTGTCCCGGGTGTCCCCCGATGTGCCCAGGTCCTCGATGTGCTCCACCAGCACGTTGTCACTGCTTGGTGGGTCAGTCATGGATGGCACCAGCTCCTCTGGCTCCTTCTGCCCTGCGGCTGCTTGTGCTGTGGTGAGACCATGAGCTGGTGAGACCATGAGCATCAGCTGAGCTTGTGGTGAGACCAAGGGGCATCTGGGGCTGGAGCATCTCCTGTGTGTCCCCCAGTGCTCGGTACCAGGCACCACATCCCACCACGCCAGGCTGGTGCATGGGATTGTGGAATCATTTTGGTTGGAAAAGACCTTTAAGACCATCAAGTCCAACCACTGCCCTCACCCTCCCAAGTCCACCCCTGAGCCCTAGGGCTGGGCTCCCTCCCAGCACAGCTCTCCTCATTCATCTCATTAATTCCCCAATTAAATATTAATCCACAGCACTTTTCCCACCGATCCCCGAGGGAAGAAGGGCCAGGGCTGCTGGGAGGAGGAGAATCCAGGGGGCAGGGAGGAACATCAGCTGCTCCCCCTTACCTTTATAGCAGTAGGCATCGAATTTGGAGGTGGGGGGTGGGAACCCGGTGCGGTTGGGGAACTGGTAGAGGGTCCGGACACCGGAGGCGTCACCCCCGCATTTCCTGCGCGGGAAGGTGATGGGATATCGGACGCTGCCATCCGC